GTGTTCCATTTAAAAAAATAAAGTAGGTTCCGACTTCCGGTATAACCGGAAGTGCTAGAAATCTGAAAATATTTTAGATGAAGAGAACGTAATTGATAATACTTAAGTCTGCATTCTCAAATTTTTTGTTTGGCTAGAACCCCAAAAACGTCTAATGACCGGTCTCGCTGAGACACCCTGTATACAATACGATATACAGGGTGAATCAAAAAGAATAGGAAATCCGAATACCAGAGATACTAGAGACCAAAATATGATGATTTAACCTAACATCTCTTATACAAATGTCAGTGGTTTTCGAGGCATAGGGTGTTGAAATTTAAATGCTTACTTCGAAATTTCTTGATAATTTTGAAGGTTTTTGTACTATTAACATAAAATTTGGTAGTTTTATGTTTTCGAGCATGAGAAGTATGAATTTGAAACTTGTTTTGTTATTGCTCGTAGAGGGCGCTAGATACACGCTGCTCGTTTGATAAATCAAATCATAAGTTTTTTGGCTCAACAGCTACGACCAATAAGAGCTGCAAATCACAAAGAGCATTCAATTTTACATAAAAAAGGTACTCTTCTTGAAACTGTCTAAGTCTATCGGTTTTCGAATTATTTACTTTTAAATGTTTAAATGTATTTTTTCTTCTAAAATATTTATTTTTTAACATAAGCAAAGTTGGGTTATTTTTCCGATTATGCTTCGACAATTGCCTGTTAATTGTCAACATTGATCTAATATCCGTGTGCAATAATCATTTTTACCAACAATAAAGTTATTACCAATTTGAAAATGCCACGACATAATGAGTTCTTTAATAGTGAGAAATCCAGATTTTTGAAAATGGTCACAATATTCTATTGTTATTAATTAATTGTTATTGTTATGGATTATTATCGTTACTAATTGCTATAGTTACTGTGTGTTATTAATTTTAAATGTTAACCTTAAAATTACTTTGAAACAATTAAAAGCAAATAACTAGGAAACCAGTAGACTTAGACAATGTAAGCAAGAGTACCTTTTTTGTGCAGAATTGAAAACTCCTTCAGATTTCTGGTTCTAATTCACCATACCTCAACTGACAAAATAGTCATGACTTGATATCTCAAGTGTGTATCTAGCGCCCTCTACGAGTAATCACAAAACAAATATCAAATTCGTATTTCTCATGCTCGAGAACATATAACTACCAAATTTTATGTTAATAGTACAAAAACCTTCAAAATTATCAAGAAATTTCGAAATAAAAATTTAACTTTCAACACCCTGTGTATTAAAAACCACCGACATTTGTATAAGACATGTTAGGTTAAATCGTCATATTTTGGTGTTTAGTATCTCCGCTATTTGGATTTCCCATTCTTTCTGACTCACCCTGTATAAAATCTCTTATTGCAGTTTCGTCTAGTTTCCTTTTCTTCGCTTGTAATTCATCATCACATTCATTAGTAACAGAACTGTCGCTGTTATCACTTCCGATTATTAATCTTTTTAATGCAAAAAGCCGTTTTGAACGATCACTTTTAGTTCTTGAGAAATAATTTTGGAAATAATCGATAATTTTTTCGAATTTTGCAATTTTTGCCAATTAAGTTTTAAAAATTCGTATAAAATCCATTTCTTGGAAAATGAGTATGAAAATTTTCCAAAGTGTTAATAAGAGTGTCCTCTTTCCAATGAACCATCATTATTTGAAAAATAACTTTTAGTTTTTGAGAAAATAATATTTGAAGTTTTGATAAAATTTTCAATGTTGCAATTTTCATAGATAATTTTCAAAATTCGTTATAAAATTTATTTCTTGAAGGATCCTTGTGGAAATATCACCAATTATTAATTAAAGTATCCTCTTTTTAATGCCAAAAGCCGTTTTGAAAAATCACTTGTAGTTCTTGAGAAATAAATTTTTGAAATAATCGACAAGTTTTTCGAATTTTGCAATTTTCGCCGATTAAGTTTTAAAAATTCATATAACATTCAGTTCTTGGAATATGAGTATGAAAATTTCCCAAAGTGTTAATAAAAGTGTCCTCTTTCCAATAAACCAGAGACGTTTGAAAAACAACATTTAGTTTTTAAGAAAACAATCTTAGAAGTTTTGATAAAATTTTCGATGTTACAATTTTCATCGATAATTTTCAAAATTCGTTATAAAATTTATTTCTTGAAGAATCCTTGTGGAAATATCACCAATTATTAATTAAAATATCCTCTTTTTAATGCAACAAGCCATTTTGAAAAATCGCTTTTAGTTTTTGAGAAATAAATATTTGAAATAATCGACAATTTTTTGAATTTTGCAATTTTTGCCGAATAAGATTTAAAAATTCGTATAAAATCCATTTCTTGGATTATGAGTTTTAAAATCTCCCAAAGTGTTAATAAAAGTGTCCTCTTTCCAATGAACCAACACGTTTTGAAAAATAACCTTTAGTTTTTGAGAAAACAATATTTGAAGTTTTGATAAAATTTTCGATGTTGCAATTTTCATCGATAATTTTCAAAATTCGCTATAAAATTAATTTCTTGAAGGATCCTTGTGGAAATATCACCAATTATTAATTAAAGTATCCTCTTTTTAATGCAAAAAGCCGTTTTGAAAAATCACTTTTAGTTCTTGAGAAATAAATTTTTGAAATGATCGACAATTTTTTCGAATTTTGCAATTTTCGCCGATAAAATTTTAATAATTCGTATAAAATCGATTTCTTGAAATAGGAGTATGAAAATTTCCCAAAGTGTTAATAAAAGTGTCCTCTTTCCAATGAACCAACACATTTTGAAAAATAACTTTTAGTTTTTGAGAAAACAATATTTGAAGTTTTGATAAAATTTTCGATTTTGCAATTTTTATCGATAACTTTCAAAATTCGCTATAAAATTTGTTTGCTTCGTTAGTTAAATCGGCATCAAAACGGTTCGTTTTGTATCTTGGATCCAAATAAGTTGACATATCTTATCAGCTTTCTTACTAATTTTATTTTTATTCGAATATCGTAATAATGTGGCATTGTAGGGTATCACTTCAGAAATGTATCAGAAATTATAACCATAATGGCCGGATTGATATGCTGGATAACCGGATATCCGGCCGAAGGGGATGCCGAATATCCGGTATCCGGCCTTTCGTAAAATCACTATCCGATCCATCACTAGTTTTTACCAGAAGCGATTAATTTACGCAATGTTTGGAAAACCACTTTATTATTTTAAATGGAACACCCTGTATTTTCCTAAGGCTTTGAAACGCCTTATTAATTACCTTTCATTTTTGTTAAGCATATGGTATATCTAGCACGTGTACTTTTTCAGATAATTAGACTGTTTTAAAAATGTCGACATTTTTTTTCCACAAAATAATAAATAACTTGGCAACCTTGCATTCAAAATTTGAAAACAAGATATGCCGTTGTAGCATTTAAGACAGCCAATCAGCATATTGTAAAAGATACGTAGATTACGTAGATTTAAAAAAATTAAGTTGAGTACAGTCCTGGAATAGTAAAGCCACTATCTTTCGTCCCCGTACTATTGACTCACCCTGTATATAAAATTTACTAAAAACAAAATAATTTATTTTAAATTTTCTAATCATGCAAATTCTAACATCGTTTATCCATTATTTATAAATATTTACAAAAAAATGAAAATAAAATTTGAAATGGCGTTCACAACTTGCAGCATACTCTGCATATATACTGGATCGTTTTAAAATCGTTATAATTAAAAATTATAAATGAGAAATTTAGATTTAAGAATAAAATTTACATAAAATCTTCTTAAATAATAATTAATTAATGATGGGGGGAAAATACGATTTAATAATTTTTAAAAAATCTAAAAAAAGTAAAAACTAGTAAGGTTAGTGCCTCTATAGTTAGTGATTTTTATTTGTTGCTTCCTTTTAAAGTGGAAATTGGGGAATTTGATTTTGTAATCTTTAAGGTTGGTGCAAAATGATTTATTTATTAATTTAATTTTACTACAACAAAAAATTTTATGGGAATTCACTTCAAAAAAGTTTCTAAAAAAAAAGCTATTATAGGGTTTAGCTAAAAGGGGTGTTCATCCTAAACTAAAAACTCGATCAATTTAGATGATCTTAATTTAAATCATTTTTTGATTAATAAAATTGTTTTTGTTTAAAACCATCTAAATTATTGCAATAAAAAATGATTTTTTTATTGCAATTTGAGTTATACATAAACCAGTGGTATATTAAAGGTGAATATAAAATCTATCAACATTTCTAAAAAAAAAAAAATAAATTAAATTAAGTATAAGGGGGGAAATTTGAATTAATTAAATAATTTAATTAATATTTGTGCAAGGATTTTTTTTGTATTTCTTCGAAGTGAAAAGTGATGAATTGAACTAAAAAGATTCTAAATAAATGAAAGACACCGTGAAGAAGAGAAGACACAAAAATTAAGAATGAGATTAAAGTGTTTGTGTGGGATTTCTACACATTAAAAAAATTAAAATAAAAATTTTAATTAAATTTCTTACCTTTAATGTCTTCGTCTTCGAGTGTGGTCGAACTATCCGTTGATTCTTTTACTTGGGATCCCCCTTCTTTTCTTACGATGATGCTTCGACCTAAAATACACCGTTTTTATTATTTAATACGTTTTTTTTTTGATTAAGTTGGTGATTTAATTTGATTTTTTTTGATGAAAATTATGAAAAATGTGCAATAAATTTGAATAAAAATTAATATTTAATGCACATTTTCTACTGTATGAATATAAAAAGTTGATGTTTAACATTTAATATGAAAAATTTTTTAAAAATAATCAAAAAAATTTGAATAATAAATAATAATATTGATTTGTGAAAAATGTAAGAAGATGAAGTGAAAATGTTATTGTTAAAATTCGAAATCGTTTAAATGTAAGAATAACGATATGGATGTGTAGCATATTGAAGTCACAAATATAGTCTTAAACTTAAATCTTTCAGAAAAATTTTAGTGGGGTTTAGAAACATTTACAAAGTCTTTAATGTTAAATAATATTCAAGCTTACTTGGATCAAATAACAGAATAAACACCAGATGTTATAATACTGCAAGGTTGTTGATTATGTAATGAGAATAATATATCAAAATAACTTTAATCGATTAGAAATAACATCATTGTATTTGGTGAAGCAAAAACGCACTAAAAAGATAAAAAGGAACCTCTCAAAAATTTCCAAAACTTTGGGAAAATGGAAATAGGCGATTGGTGAGAATCAAAATGGTTCTAATCGGGTTAAAATATCTTGGTAATACATAAAAAAATCGATAGAATTTAAAAAAATCATTTGGACATTTATTGAAAGTGTTTCAAAGATGGCAAAAATTGTCAAAATAATCCTAACCGATTGGAAATAGCTTCATTGTATTTGGCAAGGAAGAAACACAATAAAAAAGTTAAAAGGGATCTTCTTTAGAAGTTTCAAATGTTTCGCAAGACCAAAAGGACATCAAGAATGACATATTCTGGAACGTGTCATTACTGAAGACGAGTCTTGGGGTGTTTGAGTACGATCAATAAACCAGGCGCCAGAGCATGGAGTGACACACTTCAACCTTTTCAAGTCCCAAAAAAAGCAAGAATGAGTAATCGTACACTAACAGTTTGTGAGAACAAGTGGGTGTTGCTTCACGATAATACGCCTTGTCACACAGAAATTCAATAAATGAGTTTTTGGACAGTAAAAACATTCCTGTGGCTCCTCAGCCGCCTTATTCGCCTGGCTTGAGTCCTAATTTTTGAAGGATTTCATAATCCACACTTATTTTATATTTATCTATCACCAATATTATTTAATGATATAGCATAAATCACAAAATGTCAAAATTGGACGATTTTTCTTAATAAAATTAATTACAACGTAAGAACTAAAACTGATGGAGATAAACGTTATGAATAAAAAATATTCCTAATGCATCAACAAATCATAATCCGCACTTATATCATATTCATCTATCACGAGTTTCTAATGATATAGCATAAATCACAAAATGTAAAAATTGGACGATTTTTCTTAATGAAATCAACCATAACGTAAGTACTAAAACTGATGGAGAAAAACGTTATGAATAAAAAATATTCCTAATGCATCAACAAATCATAATCCGCACTTATATCATATTCATCTATCACGAGTTTCTAATGATATAGCATAAATCACAAAATGTAAAAATTGGACGATTTTTCTTAATGAAATCAACCATAACGTAAGTACTAAAACTGATGGAGAAAAACGTTATGAATAAAAAATATTCCTAATGCATCAACAAATCATAATCCGCACTTATATCATATTCATCTATCACGAGTTTCTAATGATATAGCATAAATCACAAAATGTCAAAATTGGACGATTTTTCTTAATAAAATCAACCATAACGTAAGTACTAAAACTGATGGAGAAAAACGTTATCATTAAAAAATATTCCTAATACACCAATAAATCATAATCCACACTTATTTTATATTTATCTATCACCAATATTTAATGATATAGCATAAATCCCAAAATGTCAAAATTGGACGATTTTTCTTAATAAAATTAATTACAACGTAAGAACTAAAACTGATGGAGAAAAACGTTATGAATAAAAAATATTCCTAATGCATCAACAAATCATAATCCGCACTTATATCATATTCATCTATCACGAGTTTCTAATGATATAGCATAAATCACAAAATGTCAAAATTGGACGATTTTTCTTAATAAAATCAACCACAACGTAAGTACTAAAACTGATGGAGAAAAATGTTATCATTAAAAAATATTCCTAATGCACCAATAAATCATAATCCACACTTATTTTATATTTATCTATCACCAATATTTTAATGATATAGCATAAATCACAAAATGTCAAAATTGGACGATTTTTCTTAATAAAATTAATTACAACGTAAGAACTAAATCTGATGGAGAAAAACGTTATGAATAAAAAATATTCCTAATGCATCAACAAATCGTAATCCGCACTTATATCATATTCATCTATCACGAGTTTCTAATGATATAGCATAAATCACAAAATGTCAAAATTGGACGATTTTTCTTAATAAAATCAACCATAACGTAAGTACTAAAACTGATGGAGAAAAACGTTATGAATAAAAAATATTCCTAATGCATCAACAAATCATAATCCGCACTTATATCATATTCATCTATCACGAGTTTCTAATGATATAGCATAAATCACAAAATGTCAAAATTGGACGATTTTTCTTAATAAAATTAATTACAACGTAAGAACTAAAACTGATGGAGAAAAACGTTATCAATAAAAAATATTCCTAAAGCATCAAGAAATCATAATCCACACTTATTTCATATTTATCTAGCACCAGTTTCTAGTGATATAGCATGAATCTCAAAATGTCATAACTGGACGATTTTTCTTAATAAAATTAACTATAACGTAGTAAATAAAACTGATGGAGAAGGACATTATGAATAAAAAATATTCCTAATGCATCAATAAATCATAATCTGCACTTATATCATATTTATCTATCACCCGTTTCTAATGATATAACATAATTCACAAAATGTCAAAATTGGACGATTTTTCTTAATAAAATCAACCATAACGTAAGTACTAAAACTGATGGAGAAAGACGAATCAAAATTCGGCTTCAAAATTATTTGCGTTAACTTTGTCTTTAATATTGTCACACCAAAATGAGTTGCAAGGCTTGAGATCAGAATATGTTGGCTAAGTGATTCTAATTCCTGTGGTCTCTGAATACTCCAAAGCCAGATTGTGCTCTCCAAAGAGCTCTTCCAGACATCAAACACACTATTAATATTGAGGCATCTTAATTATATCACTCAGTGTTGACAAAAAACACCCTTGTATACTCGTTATTCTTCCTGTTCTGGCTTCGTTGGTTTATCAAGGTAAATGGGTAATATAAGATGGATAAGTTATTGATGTGGTACTTTCCACTAATGAAGTTCTTAAACCTTTATAAAATAAGGATATTTTGGGCAATACCATATACTGTTTAACTAGGATAAGGTGTCATTCTAATTCCTTTGTCCAACGTTTATTAAGATTTAAGGAGTGCTAAGTAAGATGGTAAGGATTGAAATCAGAAAGTTGGAATAAAATAATCGTTAAGAAAGTTTTCTAATTCTGAATTGCCCTCAATACAGAAATTTAAACCAACGATTTCCTCGTATCGCCTCATCCACACGCTCAATAAGATGTTCAGTTGCTATACTCTTCCTTCCCTATCCTGCATCATGAACGTCCGTACGTCGTGCTTTAAAGTTACTGCACCATTGCCGCACCTTGTTATCACTCATAAATGTTTTTTCGTACACATTACTCATTCTTTGATAAATTTCGGTTGTATTGCATCTGTATATAAGATATTCCATGTTTCTAAATTTGTAATAAAGCATATTTTTCCAGAAAAGTCTTTCTCGTTGTGTTAAAGCAGAAGAGTCGCGTTTTCTACTTCCAGGTATTTTTTCACCAACTCTTCAAAAGCTTCATTTCGATTTCAAGAAGACGAAGCGATGACTTACAGAGCAAGAGTAACAATGTAGGTTATGCAGAAATTCTGCGAGCTTAGAGGCGATTTGTTCTGCAGTTTGAATGCATGCGATTTTTTTTCAGTGAGGTTATTTCAAAGCAAAGATATCACACGGAATGCTGGAAAGAGTTATTCATCTTCTAATTTCGCTTATAGTAGTGACGTAGATTTAACATGCATGAGGTTGAAGAGTATAGATCGCCGTTTTTATTTATTTTCTGCTTCTTCCTGGCTTAATAAAATATTCCAACCATTTAGAAAGCGTTGTTCATACTTAAAAGAACGTCAGGGGCCTCACAGTTTTTGCGAGAACAAAATAGTACTTTCTGGTTTATCAAAGATTTCGTAGTGATCTTACTGTATCTAGCAAAGTGAAGTTATAGATCTTTCTGTTAAAGTCGTTCCGGCTCACTAATGATGAAAGGAGATCGCCCTCTACTCCATTACGATATAGGTTCAACTACAGCAGACCCCCAACATTTTTCCACAAATTCCATGGCATTATCTAAAACTTCCAGGAACTTGTTGCAAAAAGCTTTCTTTCCTTCTGCTTTAACATTCTTAATCTTGTTGGAACGTATTGTAAACAACTTTGCATCTCGTACTTTAATAAGCCATTTTTCAATGATAGTTGTAGCCAGCGATTCATGTGAGCAAAGAGATGGAAATTATAAGAAGCCAAGTTCGGACTGTATGGTGGTTGATAAAACATTTCCCATCTGATAGACTGCAAGAGTTGTTTTGTTACAGCTATAGTATGCGACCGTGCATGGTCATGGAGCTTTCTTCTGCGCTTGTTCTGAATTGTCTTCATTACAAAAATTGTGTACAACGATTTCCTCGTATTGTCTCATCCACACGCTGAACAAGAACATCGGCTGCTCACTCTTCTTTTGCTATCTGCCTGCATCATGAACGTCTGCAGGTGTCGCTTTAAAGTTCCTACATCATTGTAGCACTCATGAAGGTTTTTCAGAACTGACAACTGCGACATGTCGCGATCAACGTGCATACTAACTATGGAAGGTTATATATTTTTTATAGTAAAACACTTTTTATAATGTTTGAAGATGTTTTGTTTCAAAAGCAGATGTTGTTATATAATAATGTTACATAGTTACATATTTTAAAGGTATTGTAGGCTGTGGTGCCGCCACACTAACGATACTCTGCTTATTTTCACAAATTATGAGCTTAGTTTTACAATCATCTCCACGATTCGATTGCCCTTCTGCTCTTTAATTGCAGTTGTCGGCTACTCTTCTGTATAAGATAGTCTATGTTCAAAAATTGAGAGAATGTGATTGGTATAATCAAATAGTTAATTTTGTGATGGAGCAACATCTTTCCAGAAAAATCTTTCCCATCTTTTCCGCTATGTTAAGGCAGAAGAGCCTAATTTCAACCTCTTTTTCCCACCAATTCCATTGGGATCTCTTAATCATCTACAATTTCCAGAAACTTGTCGCCAAAAGCTTTTGCTTTAACATTCAATGTTATCAATTTTAATATTAACATCACATATATAGGGTGAATCCAAAATATGAGCACTTAATTTAATATGCTTTGTGTCAATATTGCAAGTTTAGGAGAGTGAGTTTAAGTGTTAACTTTATATTGGTGTTGAAAAGATAGGATTATGTTCTTAGGACTCAGTTGCCTTAACCTTGTATGTGGTTATCTGTTGGCAATTTTGAAGATTAGCTTAAGACTGATAGATAGCAAAAAAATTTAATGTTGATTGATTTCGAATTTTAACGCTAACAAAAACTTGTTTTTTTTTAAATTATAACTAATAATAAATCTTATCAAAACCAAAACAAAATAATAAATACAGAAAATGATTTCTTTGAATAAATCTGATTGAAATCATGCAAGCAGCACACTGAAAACATCCAAACACATACATAACTGCGATCTAAGGTTTATTTATTAATAATCGTTAGTTAATTAAAGACAGAACAAAATTGTTTGTAAATCATTGTTACTTATTCAATCATTTGTATTATTTTCAATCTGATTATACAAAAATTAGATGTTCTTGAAGGTTGGGTTTCGGGAGAGTTTAAAATAAAAGGAATAAAACTTAGACAACAGTTTGAAAAAAGCAGTATGGATCAAGATGGTAAATAGTAAAAAGAGTATTATATTTATAAATATATATACAGGATGTCCCGTGGTATCTTTAATTACATCACATCATGGGACATCCTGTACAAGAAAAAAAATCAACCAAAAAAACGTAAAAAAAAAACAAAAAATTCGTGGACGGTCGAAAACACGCTGCATTTATACGTTTTTTTGCAGGTTCATAACTTGTTTGTGTCTCCTTACCGCATTCTGGTTGCATCGAGAAGGTGAAGTAGTGAAGTGAGGTGGAAGGGTGACGTAAATAAGTCCGCCACAACCAACAAAACAAAATTACCAACTACTCAATCCTCTAAAAAATCGACTAAAAACTATGTGAGCACAACTACCAAATTATACTCTGGTATTTTCAATTTAATTAAAATTTCTTTTTTCATTTTTCCCATCATTTCGGCTAATTTACAAAGTGTTTAGTGTGTGCAAAATTAATGAGTGTGAGACGTGAAAATATGTAAAAGTCTTTTATATACATATTGAGTTTAAAGAAAATGTTTGCGGAAATTAAAAATAATAATAAACAATTTGTGTAGAAGTGCTTTTTGTGATTATATTGTGTATTTAAAGTACGATGTTTTTTTGTATAAATCGTAATAATATTTAATTCACCTCATTAAAAAATGGCAATTAATATTTAATATATAATAATTAAAAAAAAATAATAAAAAAATAAATTAAAACTTTATGTACAAAATAGATTTTTTCTTATTTAAAATTTTTTATGGTTAAACTATGAAAGATCAAAAAGTTACATTGAAACACCATACCTCATGCTATTCGTCTATTGTTTCATCGAAAATAAAACAAAAGAATGTTTATAGCAAGGCTAATTCGATTCTAGATCACAATAAGGAGCATGCAACTTTATGAAAAAGCTGCTGAGAATTAAAAAAAGAACCGAGAGTAGAGATTAAAACAAGAAAAAAAAACAAAAAGAATAAATAAATAAGTAAAAATTAATTAATCAATTAATTAATTAATAGAGAATCAGCTACTGTTGTCTTTGTACATAGTGTTCAAAAGGAAAAGTGTAAATATTTTTCAATTATTGATTGATTTCTTTTTTGAAAAATTAAAAATAAAAGTGTTTGCCTTTTTTTTTTTTTAGCGAAATTAATTAATAGAAACGAAACGGAAAACGTTGGCGTTATTTACAAAACATTTACAAGTTTTTTTTTACATCGCAAAATCTAAAAATTTATTAACAATTTTATTTATTTTTTTTTTTTTTTGTAAATTTCGTTAAAAATTCTTTCGTTGATTTTTTTCTATTTTCAAATTAGTTTATACATTAAAAACGACTGGATAGATTTTTAAATTAAAAAACAATACTTACTTGAAAAATTGCGAGTTGCCAACATTGTGGTGAGGATGGCTCCCTAAAAAAAAAATAAACAAAAAAAGTTAAAATAGGCGTTCAGGTTGTATTTTAAAATGTTGAGTAAATGGGTCAAGGTGAATAAAAATGAAATAAATAATAAGAAATTGAATGGAGTAATTTTAACGGTTTTTTGAATGTTTCAATACCACCAAAAAAGTTGAAAAGGTGATTGGTGTAAGTCCAAATGATTCTGATCGTCTTGAAATATCTTTATAACACATAAGGAATGCGAGAGGATTAAAAAAAATCATTTGGACATTTATTAAAAGCGTTTCAAAGATAGCAAAAAGTGCAAAAATGTATTGATGCATGTCAAAATAATCCTAACCGATTAAAAAAGTTAAAAAAGATCTTTTCCAGATGTTTCAAAACAATCAAAAGATCAACAGATTTAAAAGGGATCTTCTCCAGAAGTTTCATAACGTTGAGGAAATTGAAATAAGCGATTAGTGAGTATTAAAATGATTCTAAATGATTTGAAATGTCTTGATAATACACAAGGAATGCGAGAGGATTAAAAAAAATCATTTGGACATTTATTAAAAGCGTTTCAAAGATAGCAAAAAGTGCAAGAAATGTATTGATGCATGTCAAAATAATCCTAACCGATTGGAAATAAGCTTGATTATATATGACAAAGAAGAAACACGTTAAAAAAGATCTTTTCCAGATGTTTCAAAACAATCAAAAGATCAAAAAATTTAAAAGAGATCTTCTCCAGAAGTTTCATAACGTTGAAGAAATTGAAATAGGCGATTGGTGAGTATTAAAATGGTTTTAAATGACTTAAAATGTCTTGATAACACACAAGGAAAGCGATAGAATTAAAAAAAGCATTTGGACGTTTTTTGAAGGTGTTCCAAAGATAGCAAAAAAACGAAAAAAATTATTGGTGTGTGTCAAAATAATTTTAAACGATTAGAAACTGCTTTATTGTACTTGGCAAGGAAGAAATAGAATTCTCCAAGTTTCTTTTGATATACCATTTCTCGTATTTATATATTTTTGCCTTCCATACTTTTGTAACTGGTACTTTCTCTCACATTTTCTTCAAGTGTCTTCTTTTTAATTTATTGTTTTTGGATTCTTTTATTAAGCCAAATAAAACAAATTAAAAATGTAATTTAGCTAAATCTACACTTGGACATGTTGCAAACATAATAGTAATGACAGCTCAGTTCGATTTTCACTTATTATTGCCAATTCAGATTTTTTATTTATTTTTTTTTTACTGTTATTAATTCGGAGCCTAACGTTTTTGCATTTAATACGAAAACGGTGGTTTTTATCAATGTTCTCTAAGAGTGATAAAAGTTTCTAAACTAAATTTACTATTAGAAACTGCAAAAATAAATGTAGGTTATCATAAAATAAAAAAGTTCTGAGCAAACAAACTTTAGGAACAGCCTGTATAGCATTGTTCCCGCGCACCGATCCAACTCAAAAATTGCGTAATGATTTTACGTGATTACACTGTATTAAATTTCAACGCTTTACCATAAATAGTGTTTAAGATAATTAGAAAAAAGTCTTAAAATTTTCTAACTTTGTACCTTCTGTAACTTGGTACTTTCTAACCTGTATCTTTGCAATTTGAGGACTTTTACTATTTTTTTTTTACATGAATCGTCATCATTTTCACTCTAGTACATGTGGATACATTTGTTCCCCGAGTCATCGAAACACCCTGTATATATTATGTATATAGAAGGTCATCTCCCCACTATTTTTTGCTACAAGCGCTCCCAAGGGGATTGTGAGGGAACTAACTCAAAAACCGTCATGACTAGAAAAATTCTACGTGCTCCATGTAAAAAAATCTATTAGAACCCGTTTTTACTTTTTTACTAAGTTTCCGGATAGTCGAGATACAGGAGGTGTCTGAAAATCGTAAATTTCAAACACTCCCTGTATATCAAAAACAAAAAGGGCTATGGAAATTTGATTTGCGCCATTGTAAGTTTCACAAAAAAGTAGCTCCGGTTCGCGAAAGACGCAACTTTCTATCTTTCATAATAACTGAGATCCCTGCAAACCCATCGAAATTTGGACACCTGTACTCATATTAAATTACAATCACCAGGAGGAGACAATGCCGAGATATTTCGTAACCGAAAAAATGACTTTTCAATAAATGTTCAAGCTATCTGTGACCCTGATTTAATAATTAGAAATATTGTAGCTCGTTGGCCAGGATCAACACATGATTCTACAATTTTCAGTAATTCTAAAATAAGAAGAAAATTTGAAAGTGGAGAAATGGGTGATAGCTTACTTGTAGGAGACAGTGGTTTATCTAATTACTCCGGTTTCAAATTCAGTGGTACCAGAAGAAAATTTATTGAATGAGTCACAGATAAGAACACGTAATTGCATCGAAAGATGTTTTGGTGTGTTAAAAAGACGATTTCCAATATTAGCTTTAGGAATTAAGTTACATATAACAAAAGTAGAGGCTATTATTATATCAACTGTGGTTGTGCATAACATAGCCTGTACTCTAAGAGATGTGGAACCAGACAATAATGAAGACATAGAAAATTTGATTCATTTTCAAAATAATGGCAATGATATTGTAATCGATGTAGAAAATAATAACTGTAGAAACTTAATATAAATTTTAATAAAAATATCTACATATTAACGTGTTTATTTCTTATGGCTAACTTATTTATTCTTTAATTTTGCTTCAATATTAAAACAATTTTTCACTAGGCACAAATTGACAAATATCAATTTGAAAACTGGCCACGCGTAAACTAAGTTTTGGTGCTTAAACGGTCGACGACTACTGGTAACGTAAACGTCGATTCTAACCGTTGTTTAACGTGAAACGGTAGTTGTAAAACATTTTTTTGTTAGTTAACCATAGATTAACTTAATCGGACGCTTAAACTATGATTGTAAAACCGGGCCTAAACGACAAAACAACGTTTGCTTTCACCTTTGAGTTTGACATTACACACACATTTTTTTATGGTTACAAGCGCTTTGTTTGTGTAGATAATGCAGATTGCTACAAATTCAGTCTACAACGTCATCCAGTGGATTGTAAGGGTACTAAATTTCGGTCTACATTTTTATAGTAGTAAGATTGCACACCATGGTCTTCTCCAGTCTCCTCTGACACAGAAATGACACAAATAAATAATAATACACACCAATACACACTTTGGCGCATCTCTTGCGTTAGATTAGACCTTTTTCTTTGTGCTGCAATATCTGCAACTTCTGGACGTTCCATTGGGCGCGTTCACCAGAGAATTCCGTTGACGTTGGCAAACGCAAACGGGTTACGATTGCGTTGGTGATTTGGTGAACGGCCAATTTTTCTACAGACATATGGTTTGATAACAACAGATGGCGCTTTAATGACAATTATTTACAATTTTAATTAATTTATAGATCAAACCGCTCAATTTATCATGAATTTCTTCATTTTCAAAGATAGTATACACTAACCCATTAAATAAATAATTTCGGGATTCTGCCATTCTTTTTTGTTGATTTTAAATTTAAGATGGCACAAACAGCAAACACCGTTTGCGTTTGCTAACGGAAAAATCATACGATTGATAAAATGGCGGTCGTTTACCAAACACGTTAGAAGTTAACAGTTTGCTCTCTGTTTGCAAACGTTGACAGTTGATGAACGCGCCCATTATGTGGCCACACCGGTATTTTTAGAAATAGTAAGACGACGCATGATTTTCAAGTATTTACTCAAACATCAAGTTGATGCGTTAGAATTTTTTGACAACATACAAATGTTAAATTTGACGTAAGTTACTTACGTCTTGGGTGAGTTTTGACGTAAGACAGAGAGAGTATCATTTTCCTCTGTCACTACTTCTGTCCTTAGGGATTTCAGTATTTTAAGGCCCGTACAGACACGTTTAGTAATTTATACTCTGTTTTTAAACCAGGAGGAGTACAAGGTTTATATATTAAAGGTTGTCTAAGTTCCTATGCTGCAATACTTTGATGTTAGTTTGTGGGCGAGGGGCAAGAGCAGGAGTGTTTCGTGACGTAAGCGATCACGGATTGCGCACGCAACCTCATGGCCATGTGGTGCTCCATGCCTTTGTTTAATTTGAATTGCTTGGCGGTATTATTTTCCACATGTGACGTAATGCGCAGTATGGTTGCGTACGAACCTAGACAACCTCTTATATATAAACCTTGGGAGGAGTAAACGCGAAAGTCAGATTTACACTAGGAAAAATCACCAGAAAATATCACTAGATATTTTGGCGGTAAATTTAAATTAATAATAATTATTATTTATTTATTTACTTATTATTGTATTTATTTTCGTTTGTTATCGTCAACACTAAACATACAAATTAACATTGAAGTTATGAGTGTATTTATTTCAAAATATAATAAAGAAGGGTTTAAGAACACAAAATTTACAATAATGACACGAAACTGTCGAATTGTCAATAACCTAACCTTCAAATTCAAAATTAAAATTGCCTGTGTGTGAACCTTCCTCGCATTCAACCAATCACGTGCAAGGTCAATCTGGTGACAAATTTAAAATACTCCTCCTGGTTTAAAAACAGAGTAT